AAAAAAAATAGTAACTTTGACTTAAAAAAATTATTGTTGACTTACTAATGTAAGCAATAACAATGGGCCCTACATGTCAACCAATTTAATCGGATTTTAGTAACATATTTGATCGGTAGATAGCAAATCTCGGATTTTGGTAACAAATTTAATCATAATTTGATAAAAAATCTCAAATTTTGTTAACAGATTTGATTTTATTGTGATAACAAATTTCGAATTTTCATAACAAATCTTTTGAAATATCGGTTTTTTGGTAACACACTTCATAATGATTTACAAACAATATATTGCCGATAATCATTGGAATTTCTTCTGGTAACAAATTTCACAATTTTTTTGGATTGTTAGGAGTTAAATATTGCAGAAAAAATCTCGACATTTGATAAACAACACATATCAAAATAAAAATATTATATTTCAATTAATCCGAAAAGCCTTAACAAATTAAAGTGTAACAAACTCTATTAATTTTAGTAAACATTATGTCATATTGATGTGACACATAATCTTCAAAATAAAAAAATTAATTGTTGACTTACTAATATAAGCATTATCAGTAGGCCTCACATGTCAACTAATATAATCAGATTTTGGTAACAAATTTGATTGAATTATGATAACAAGTCTCGAATATTGGTAACAAATTTGATCTGATTTTGATAACAAATATCGGATTTGATAACAAATCTTTTAAAATAGCGGTTTTTTGGTAACACACTTCATAGTTATTTACACATAATATATTCTATATAATCTTTGAGATTTATTTTGGTAACAAATTTCACATATTTTTTTCGAATTATTTAGAGTTAAATATTGCAGAAAAAATTTCGAGATTTGATAAATGTACATATCAAAATAAAAATATTATTTTTCAATCAATCCAAAAAGTCTTACCAAATTAAATTGTAACAAATTCCATTAATTTTGGTAAGCATTATGTCACATTGATATGACACATAATCTTCAAAATAAAAAATTAATTGTTAACTTACTAATAACATGGTCTTTCCTTTAGTAAGTACTTTGAATTTTAACTTAAATTTGTTTTTTAAAAGGGACGGAGATATTAAAATCCCGTGCATCGCACGGGTACTGTACTAGTAATTAATAATGCATTTTATGGAATAATAATAATTAATATGATTTTTTATTAGTTGGTGTAAATATTATCAACAAAAATTGTAATTATCTAATAATAACAAATTAAATAAATGAATTTAAAAAATTTGTTTACTAGTTATTTTGTTTAAATTGTTTATGTAGGCTGATGGATCTTGATTTAGCCTTACTATCTTATACCGGCCCGTGTCATCTAGCCGACCGGTCGATGAACTTGCATAGCGATCTCATTAAGTCGAAATCTCTGAGTCGACCTCTCCCATAAACTACCCAAGAATTGCCTTTAGAACGATAACAGCTCCAGGACGATTGCACCCAAGTCAACTTCCACAGTCGATTCCCCTCGAAAAGACGAGTAGATAGAGCGTAGTCTCCAAATGCTTGTAAGCGATCCAAGTCGACTCAACGATGCTCGAAGTCAACAATATTGTCTCGAGGTATTCAGAGCCCCGACGACTTGTACGTACTTCGATGTATCACGAGGAAAGGATTGAACAGAAGTGAATATGTATGTGATAAGAAGGAATCTGGATGCTGACCAAGAGACGCATAGAAG